AGTGACATAGACCAGTTTGCCCATTGTTTTAGTTGAGTCTAAGTAGGTATTTGGGATCCTGCTGCTTCCTACATATTTCTTTTAGTATTCACTAGTGATTCCAGTTACGATTATAAATGTTCTCAAAATGTTCATGTAAGCACATGTATTGTATTCAATGTAAGGACAAGTAGACTGATTAAGAAATAACCAAAATCCACAAGCCTCATATACAACCTTTATCATATATTCACTAAAGTAGTTAAGCCAGGCTTCCTCAGCCTCGGCCCTCCAGATGTTTTAGGCCTTCAACTCCCATGATCCCTAGCAAGCAGGACAAGTGGTCAGGGATGATGGGAATTGTAGTCTCAAAACATCTGGAGGGCCGAGGTTGAGGAAGCCTGAGTTAAGCAGTAGCTTGATGGTCATTTCATAGATGCTGGAGTTGCATCCTGCACTCAGAAAGGTGTTAAGAGTGGGTGACCACCACTAATATTATGATTTGATATAATGCCACTTTATTAAAATACAGAAGACCAATTACTTTGGGACAAAGGGGCAAAAATGTAAAATAGCCATTTGGAAGGGTAGGGACTGCACAGTTTAACGTTGACAGCAAAACCCCACAAATCAGACCACTGAACAATTGTTTCCCTGCAAAATGTGTGGTTTAAGCACATCTAAGCAAATGGCACTCTGCTCTCTGGAAGTTCTGTTCACCTCATAAATTAGCCACCTCATTTCCCTCATCACACACACGAAAAGAATACAAAGTCCCTTCATACATATTTGTTTTAATAAAAGTAATAAAGCAAGTCCAGAAGTTATAGTTGTTATGACATAATCACACCTCAGAGGTTTAAAAATCACTCAGCGGCACATCATCCCTCAAAATCACTTTTTGCAAGCAACTGTCTCAAGACACCAGCCTTCTATTGTACCTGAAATACCCTGCAGTCCTATTCATATATACATTTCTAAGCACTAAGTGGAAAAACACATCTATACACATAGTTTCTATCAGTTACACACACACAATCCAGGACTACTGAAGTAAACACAGGGAATCTATGTACATCTTTGCCTTCAAGTGTAAAACAGCAGTAAGTTGTAAAGATGAAAGACACTGAGTATCTATTATATCTATGGGTTTGTGTATGTGGAGTAAACATACACATCTCCCCTCGATCCTTAAAGCACAAGATTTTTAGTATATGGTTCTTTTAGAGTGAAGCATCTAACCTTGAAAAGCTGCCATATTGTGTGGGAATCTCTAAAGGTTGGAAAATTCATAACCTCCTAACAGATTCCTATTCACTGATACTAAAATTTCGACAATGTGATTATTTTGTGTGAAAAGTGTGTTTGTTAAAACTTCCTCAGACGTGGAAAGATGTACTTTTAGTTTTTGAAAGCTCCACATCTTATCTCAGATTTGTACTTATCGAAGTGGAAAACATTTGAAGTGAAGTTCAGTGGAAACCCACTGAAACAGATATCATGTAATAAACATATGTCCGCTCCATAATTAAAAATTATGGGTGTTCAGAAGTTTCCATTTTCTATCAGTGGAAACTCTCCTAGGCAAGGAGTTTCGAAGCCAGGTTGCCAACACAGAAAAGGCCGTCTCTTCAGAAACCACCTGTCTCATTCCAAAGGCAGGAGAACTCAAAGCCCACATAATTCAAAAATATAGAAGTGTCTTCTGAGATAGGCTTCTCATCCTGTAGTGCCATAAGTTCCTTACCCCGGTGTGCATTCTTAAGAGGGTCACAACTTGCGTGATAGAACCTTTTTGAACAGCTGCTAAAGTGCAATTCACTTAACCAGGAGTGATGTTATGCAGTCAGTCCCAGAACGTATCACGAGAGGGATCCCGATATTCCCTTTCAACAAAGCCTAGCTGCATACACACTGATCATTGGGCTTGGCCCAAGCATAAAAACTGCATACCGAGAGCAGATAGAAAAACATCCACTCTCCTTGCCAGCAGCGAAGAACTGTTGGCTTCCCCATGGGATCCAACTGAGAAGACCCTGCTACAATTTAATGGGCCTATTCATGGCACTAAATGTCGAAAGAATTAGGTGCAAAAACTTTAAAACCCAGCCTAGATTCATATGACAGCAATACCGACAGGACACTTGAGATCATTAAAGGAAATCTCCCACTGTCAATTAAAGGGGAAGCGACCCTTCGTGAAACAGCATTCCCTCAACTTCCAATAGGTTATTTTAAGAAAATGGTCTCAAGCCCCTTTCTGTCAATCTTGATTTTTATTTTTTTTTAAGTTACCAAAAAGCTTGACTGTAAAATATCCAGTTTCATTTTGGAATGGAAAAGGCCCCAGAACAAAATGTTTGGGAAGAGGAAAGGGAGTGGGGGGAGAAACCCGCTACACATTAAACCACCAAGGGAAGAGGAGAAGGCCAGAACGAGGGCAAGAGGAGAAGGCATGGCGTTAGCCGCATTGTATTTAAACTTCACATTAGGTATTCCAATTATACTTTATAAAATCCTTCTTTGATCAGGACCCTGGAGCAATACATGGAAACTAGGGGGAGAAATTAGTTCAACTGTTTTCCCTTAAGGAGTCTACATATAAAAGCATTATTCGCAGATTTTATTTGACACAAAATGCTGCAGTTACATCTGGAACCAAGTATGCTTCCCTTCTGGGGGCTTGAAAAACTATACACATTATCTCTCATATGCTTAAAGGATGTTAATTTCCCAAATGTGTTAAGGAGAGAAGATTTCAGAGTGTAGAACAAGGAGGAATTTATTACTGAAATGATTTTTTTTTTTTAAGCTGCGTTCGCAAATATGGCTGGTCAATAAAATCTGCAATGTCAAAATGGTGCAGATTTTTTTTACTGTTAAATTTGTGGCAAAGGATCCAGTAATAGAGCTAATCTTTTCTTCTCTAAAGAAACTTAAGGGCCTCTGTAACATAAGAAATCCTGGGCTACGTAGGAGAAGACTGCGCTGTGACTCCATCTTACAGAAGTCTCAACCCTCCACTGATCTGAGGTGATGCTGGCACTTTGTTACCACAGAACAACTATTAGCCGAGTGTATTTACTTTTACCCCTAGGTGGACTTAATCCCAAAGGTCTTCCTCTTCCTCTTCCTCTTCTTCCTTCAGCTGTTCAGCTGAAAACAAACAACTATGTACGCTTAAAGGAAGAAAAGTCACAAAAATTTAATCCGCTCCCCTTAGACTTGTTCTGTTGCCGAAGGATAATAACACTTTTGACACACAAGTTGAACAATTTGTCTCCCTAAGTGGCACTGAATGCTCTGGTGATTCAGAATTCCTTTACATCACTGAGCATGCATCTTATATACCTTCTGGGGTGATATTTTCACTTAAAAACTTCTGACAAGAGGTTTTGTCTACCTAAAGGTATTGTCTACTCTCTGCTGTCACTGGAGGAGCAGGGAGGAACCGGCAAGACACACTTGTCATCTCGCCCACGCCAGAGTATTAATTTCGGTACCTGGTCTCCTCAGCAGGCCTGTATAGCCTTTAAAACACCAGGCAGTGCTCTCAAGGGGGCTCATGCCAATGTTTGATCTAGTGGCAGCAACAACAGATCACATATGTGAGGCCCTCCACTCCTTTGATTTATATGCCCTCACTAGGAATGCTGCCAAATTATTTTGATCATGAACTGAGACCAAGATTTAAAAACAACAACAACAACAACCAAGGCTCCCCTCCAATGTTTGGTTACTAAACTCACTTATAAAAATGTGCTTAGACACAATTCCTTTTCGAAATGTTTTAATTTGTGCTCTCTGATACAATAAGCACAACGTTTACTTTTTTCTAGCTCTGTGGAGAAACATCAGTGATCAAAACATGCATCAATAGAAGCCATGTGGGTTCTCAGCATCTGGTAATTAATAGTAGAATTTTTTTAGTATTTTATCTTTTGTATGGTTGTGGTCCTGCCCTGATATTATTGTTTTATCTTTTTGTAAACTGCTTTGAGGGTTTTGTTTTTCTGCTTTTACAATCAAGCAGTGTATAGATTTTATGCAACGAACAATCAGTGCACCTGACTCTCGAATATTTAGGAGAACTCTAAGTTTGACGAACTGCCTCCCTAACAGTGTCAACATGGTGAGAAGGATCTAGCAAATATGAGATTCAGTTCCTGAAGTCTGGACATTTTTGAAGGCCTAGTATAACCTAGCACCCACAAAACAAGTTGATAGAATTTTTGTTGTTTAGTATTGTGGCTAAAAACCACAGCTGCTCTTCTGCTTTGAAACACCGAAGGTGACCACTAACGCTACTATAAAAGAAGGAAATACTATTTCCAGTGTTTCTTCCTGCAACCCCCATGCCACTTTCCACACTCCCCCCCCCCCCAATGAAGGGAAAAAACCATCAGCTTTACAGTTTTGAAAATGGTTTTCATTGCAACGGATTACATGTTCATGGCCACATACTATATACATCACTGCCAATTTCAAAAACACTGGAAATTTCCACTATATGCTAACATACGTATTTGCTCAAATGTATTTTTTAATCATTAAAATGTTTCCACTTCATATTTAATTAATTTTAAAAGTATGGGGAATAAAGGCTCCTGGATCAAATAGCTGAAGAAATGTCATAGACGAGGATATAGGCCAATAGCCTCTGAGTGGAGAATCAATATCTTATAGTGTTTTCCCAAGAGGGCTTAAAAAAAACCCCAACCCATTGTTGTAGCAATGTGAAAGAGAGAAGGCTTTGCAGATCAGGTTACCAGCCTGATCTGATGTTTTTAATAGACAATAAATCTGGCTGCAGCCATCGCTAAGTCTCAGTCGCAATCGTTAAAGCCAGGGAATTTTTAAAGAAAAAACCTGCACCAGGACTTATAAATATTTATTACCATTCCACAAATCTTTTAAAGCAGACATATAACTAGTTGACACTTAATTACCAAGCACTGTTTCAGTGTTCCTTCATATCAGGTTGGATTATACTTAGATTAAAATGATCTGCACTGCCTTACCTGGTACATTCCAACTCCAATGTGTTTGGGCTCAATTTTCACTAGCTCAGCTAATGGGTCCTGTACTCGTCTCGCAATGGAAACTGGGGGGGAGAAAAGAGCAAAAAAAATAAATAAATAAGAATGGTGTCCTGTGAAATGTAGGACTAAGTAAGTACATTTTGTTGCATCTGTCCAGTGTTGGTAACATTTCATTCTGTGAAGCAAGAAAAATAAAGTTACAGGATACCAGAGGTGGGCGTGGGGCGTGGGGGAGAGTTTCACATGAGGAAATGCCATTTTATTGTAAAAATATGTAGCACATTTTCATCAAAGCACCTCTAGAAACTAATCCCACCATGTAAACTTTTTTGGGGTCTACTTTTTAAAAATGCAAGTATGAGATTAAGTAAGAGGACATGCCTCCGTAATCAGATATCAACACAAACACACCATTAACCAACTTTTGAAGCAAACATAAAATTAGCTTAGGCAAATTACATAAATAGTTAAAATTTATTTTACACCATTTTGAGCTGGAAATCTGGGTAATTTAGTAATTTAGACAATCAGAACATAAAATATCAGATTACTGTGATGTGTGGCCCTCTTAATCAGTTGCTCACTTTTCTCCGTCTCTTTTTAAAAAGAACACTGTTAATATTTTTTCAGTCTGCTGTACACTACTTTGGAAATATTTCCCAGGAAACCGTTTATAAATCTTTAAATAAAGAAATAAACAAAACTCTATTTTTCATTCAGTAGAATTAATCAATTAATGGATGCTGTGGATAGATTTTGTTAAGTGAACATTTTAAGAAATATGAATTTCACTTGTAGCTGCCCTGTTCTGTGAAAATATCCAAAGTTATAACTTTACAAATATTCTAGCTACATAGCTTTACAAATATTCTAGCTACATAGCTTTACAAATATTCTAGCTACATATTCTAGCTACATGTGCAAAATTTATACATCTGAGTTGAAACGGTTGTATTCAGTACACAGTTTCAAAACATAAACGTTATCATGCATCATATATGCTCTCTTATACTGTAGTCATCAGTTACCTCGGTCACATAAAGGTAAAGGTATCCCTGACCGTTAGGTCGTCACGGACGACTCTGGGGTTGCGGCGCTCATCTCACTCTATAGGCCAGAGCCAGCATTTGTCTGCCGACAGCTTCCAGGTCATGTGGCCAGCATGACTAAGCCGCGTCTGGCAAACCAAAGCAGCGCACAGAAACGCCCTTTACCTTCCCGCCGGCGCGGTACCTATTTATCTACTTGCACTTTGATGTGCTTTCAAACTGCTAGGTTGGCAGGAGCAGGGACCGAGCAACGGGAGCTCACCCTGTCACAGGGATTCAAACTGCCGACCTTCTGATCAGCAAGCCCTAGGCTCTGTGGTTTAGACCACAGCGCCACCCGCGTCACATACATTGCACTAATATTCACTAAGTTTGTGCATCAACTGCAACCAGATATCTGACACTGTGTACATGGTCCAATCTTCCTATTGCATTGTTGTTGCTAGTCCTGGATAGTTTATATTGATATTCAGTGGTACCTCTGGTTAAGAACTTAATTCATTCCGGAGGTCCGTTCTTAACCTGAAACTGTTCTTAACCTGAGGTACCACTTTAGCTAATGGGGCCTCCCACTGCTGCCGCGCGATTTCTGTTCTCATCCTGAAGCAAAGTTCTTACCCCAAGGTACTATTTCTGCGTTAGCGGAGTCTATAACCTGAAGCGTCTGTAACCCGAGGTACCACTGTATTTGCATAGCGTTTGTTCAAGCACACAAAAGTATGCACACACTCCTTGGCATGTCCTCAAATGACAATACCGTGATATCACTGTAACCAACATCTCAACTAATTTCTCATCAAATAGTAACCCGAGAACAATGTTTTCTCAAAACGGTCTATATATCTCTATCTATATACCGTATTTTTCGCCCTATAGGACGCACTTTTTCCCCTCCAAAAATGAAGGGGAAATGTGTGTGCGTCTTATGGGGCAAATACAGGCTTCCGGCAGCTCTGCGCAACCCTCGGGAGCCCAGCGCCAAGCCGCGCCGGGCTCGGAAGGGTTGCGCAGAGCTGCCTGTCCTCCCGGGCTCCGCGCAGCTCTGCGCAACCCGCACCCGGCTCGGGAGGGTTGCGCAGAGCTACCTGTGCTCTCGGGCTCCGCGCAGCTTTGCACAAGCCGCGCCGGGCTTGGGAGGGTTGCGCAGAACTGCCTGCGCTCCCAGGCTTCGCACAGCTCTCCGCAAGCCTGGGGAGACCGGCGCGGCTCCCTAGGCTTGCGGATAGCAGGTTGTTCTGGGGGCGGGGGTCGAGGGAAGCTCGGGCTTCCCCCGCGCCAGCCCCGTGCCTGGGGGGGAAATAATTTTTTTCCCTTTATTCCCCCCCCCCAAAAAAAACTAGGTGCGTCCTATAGGGCGGTGCATCCTATGGGGCGAAAAATACGGTATGTTGCTATTCTGCAGAGAACAAACATTATTTATTTTATTATTAGAGCTGCAATAGCCAACAGATGGCCAAGCCAATTAAACACTTTTAGTTGACTAACATAGATCACAGAATCATGGAATTGGAAGGGCCTCCAAGGATTATCCAGTCCATCCCCCATGTAATGCTGGAATCTCAACATAGATTGAGGTAGATAGATAGATAGATAGATAGATAGATAGATAGATAGATAGATAGATAGATGCACACTCATACAGAGTTGTCCAATTAAGTGGAAGCATATTTTGAGCTGGATCAAGATTTCACTGCTGACAATGGAGATTTCAGATTCTACCCCTTCCCTTGCAGCCCTCAGTGTACCACTGCTCTGAAGAGTCACCAACAGATTAAAACTGTTACTCCATAAATTGGCCTCCCTCCACCTCTGCCAGCTGGATTGCTCTGCTAGATCATTGTTCTTCTGGGGACAGAATGAATTTTTCCATTGGCTCTGCACCCGGATCACACATAGCCCTTTGGCTTTTTAAAAGCCCACACTAATAATATCAATGGAGGGTTTTAAAAGCTTAACTTTTAAACTTTTTATTTATCCCAAAGCCAGGGAGTTGCAGGCCTTTGTTTCGATAATTTGTGTTAATAGATAGGAAGCTGCCTCATACAGAGACCCCTGATGCGTATAGTCCAATATTCTCTACACTGACTGTAGATCTCTCCATGGTTTCAGACAGAGGTCTTATTCCAGCCCTACCTGGAGATAACTGGGCCTTGAACCTGTGAAAAGCATGTGCTCTACCACAGTGCTACAGCCCCTTCAAAGAACGCTGAATGAGCTGCACTGCTCATTCTGTAATTCTCAAACTGTGTACTATGAGTAATGAAAGGCTCAATTTTGTCCAAAGCATCCACACACAGAGGGAACAGGCAGCTGAATCTCTGGACAATTCCTTGTTCTAGCCTTGCATCTTCCAATCAGTCATTGTGGGTAATTCTTTTTTGGCGCAACGGGACCATTCAATCACTCCCAAAGCCTAATTATCCATCAGCAAAAGATTCTCCCTGTCATAGCTGCCCGTCACCAGTGACGGATTACGTATAAGCTAAACAAGATACAGCTTAAAGGTAAGGTAAAGGGACCCCTGACCGTTAAGTCCATAGAATCATAGAATCATAGAGTTGGAAGAGACCACAAGGGCCATCGAGTCCAACCCCCTGCCAAGCAGGAAACACCATCAGAGCACTCCTGACATATGGTTGTCAAGCCTCTGCTTAAAGACCTCCAAAGAAGGAGACTCCACCACACTCCTTGGCAGCAAATTCCACTGTCAAACAGCTCTTACTGTCAGGAAGTTCTTCCTAATGTTTAGGTGGAATCTTCTTTCTTGTAGTTTGGATCCATTGCTCCGTGTCCGCTTCTCTGGAGCAGCAGAAAACAACCTTTCTCCCTCCTCTATGTGACATCCCTTTATATATTTGAACATGGCTATCATATCACCCCTTAACCTCCTCTTCTCCAGGCTAAACATGCCCAGCTCCCTTAGCCGTTCCTCATAAGGCATCGTTTCCAGGCCTTTGATCATTTTGGTTGCCCTCCTCTGGACACGTTCCAGTTTGTCAGTGTCCTTCTTGAATTGTGGTGCCCAGAACTGGACACAGTACTCCAGGTGAGGTCTGACCAGAGCAGAATACAGTGGCACTATTACTTCCCTTGATCTAGATGCTATACTCCTATTGACAGCCTGCATAGCTGCCGGTCACACTGTGGTTGCAGCCTGGGACCAGACTTAGATCACATACTCTCACAGGTGTCCCCCATTATGTATCCTGCCACTTTTTTTGCCCAAGTCCATCACGAGCGCTCTCAAAAGCAATTTGTCCTCAGAAGCTTCCGGTCATTTGAGTGCCTACACAATATGCCAGACCTATTTATCTATTTAGCTATACTTAGGCCCCACAATTGAAATACTTATTCTTAATTGTAATCAGTTCAACAAATTATTTGATAAAATATGTATTTTGTTATGTGCAAATGGCTTTAAATACCTATTAGGTCCATAAATTACCATATAGCATATATTCAACACAAAAACAGTGACAATTTGTTGTTGACAAAGGACAGCTGGACATATAAAGGGCCCCATTAACTTCAGTAGCTGAGGGCCTCATCAAACCTAAATCCGGCCCTGCCCATCACAGTCAGGGTTGAGGACTGCATAGGAACACACAAGAGGCAGAAAGACTTCACTGCTTCAGCTAGGTCACACCCCAAACAGGAAGACATGTGTAGTCCTTCCTGTTCAGCAAGGTCAAACAGCCAACTCAGGTGGGTAGTGTTATTCTGAAGCCTGAGACTATGTCACTCCAAGAAGGTGTTTGCAGTGTGTTGCTACGCCTGACATGATATACCAGGAAGTGTCCATGTCAGCTTTAGGGCCCTGCGGTCTCAATTTCGATTCTGTATTGCAAGTAACAGTCTGCTGCATGCATTTTCCTTTCCAAGCTTTTCAAGTTCTTGTTTATGTATCTGCTGAGTGGGTTTCGTTCGTGATACTTTTCAATATTCTGGAATGTTCCAAAATTCATTTCTGATAGCTGGGGAGGGGGGAGAAATTTGATTCGGTTTGTACTCAA